TTCTCCTCTTATTAATCATTTTAGAAAAGTTATTAAACTACTACTTGTGATGAGTCTCTTTCAGTAATAGTTTCCATCCAATACTGCCAACAATATAACTAGGATGAATTGCTAACAAATCATTCTGGAAAATCAAAATACAAGGTATTGTTTTCCCCTGTGAGGTGTAATGTGCAGCATTGGCACTGGCTCTAGATATGCAAAGATGGCCACAACACATTTTAGGCTTCCAGTTAGGGAGCTAAGTAAGACTTTGATTTTAAGCTTCCAGTTAGGGAGCTAAATAAGACTTTGAAGGTTTCTAAGTTCACTTACACTTCTGATTAAAAACATAATTGTTATAAACAATGTTTTAAATGGTTGAGAAATATATATACATAAACAATTTTGTTTCCACTTTTTCATCTTTATGAATTCAATATTTTTCAATTTGTAAATTGAAATCATTTACTGAGTATATATCATACTATCCAATACATATATCATAGCTGCACAAGCAGCTTATTTTTAAATTTAAGCTAGAGTGCCTGAAATGCATTTTACATGATACATTTTGACCCATTTGGGATTAGTTTTGTAGCAGTCTAGGAAGAGTACTACTGAGTGTAAGCAGTTTAAAATATTTGATGTGTATTCTCAAACAGTTTCCAGCAAACAGTGTGTACCAGCAAACAGATCTCACAAGTCCTCTCCATTCCTATGGTTAAATATGATTTGTATCCACATGTATGTGTGCAAATATACATATCTAAGAAATAAACACAAGCTTTCAGTGATGGAAAGACAAAAAATAAATAAATGAATTTGGCACTTGATTGGGAATTGCTATCCTTTATTCCTAACACTGAGTGTTAGCTTTTTGGTTTATGTGGATTTCCTAGGTTTTCTAATCAGGCATCTATATTTTGTCCATTTTTTGAGGTCTTACTGATTTCTAACATTTCTAAGGTCTTGATGTTTCTGAGCAACAGTTTCACAAAATATTTGTTTCAAGAATTTCCTACTGCTCTATTACTTCTATTTTTTCACCCACTAGTATCATACAGACTTTTACTTGTATTTATCAAATTTGTCAAATTATTTTGCAGCACTTTATATTGCTTTGCTTAGTTTTTCCTTTTCTCAGAATATGTTTTTCAGTAATATTGCAAGCTTAAAATAATTTTACAATGTAAGTGTCATTCAAATTATGAATATTGAAATGATGTAATGAAACTGTGGTACTTTTACAATATGGAATAGGATTCAATTGTAAAGAAAAGCAAAATCATGAAATATGAAGTCAACTGATAGAACTAGAAAGGATCATTCTGAGTGAGGTAACTCAGACACAGAAAGATAAATGCTACATATTCTCTCTCATTTCTAACTCCTACCCTAAATCTTCAATGAGAGCCTATAACCTGGAGTAACTATACTCAAGAAAGTAAAAGGGACTGAGGTAGTTGGAGGAACACTGGAGAGAGTGTTAATAGAGTAAAAGTGATTTGAAGGGGAAAACTGGAAAAAATAGGGAAGAGATTTTATTTAGGAAAGAAAGAGGGAGGTTAATACAAGAGGAGATGAGTATAAAATAATGGAAAGAATGTCTGAAGGACAATAAGGAATCAAATTATTTGTTTACCTAAAATAACCTGTAATACATATAAGTATATGTGTATATATGCACATGAATAGTTCAATGAAACGTCCCCACATATATAGATAAAGTTTGTCCAAAGAGCCACAGGATAGCTAACAAAAACCTCGATGAGGAATGAGAAGTTCCCTTTCAAGTTGTTGGCCAAAAAATTCCAAGAGACTCAAAAACAGCCATGTAGTAGCCTAAATAAGAACTGAGCAAAGATGACAACAGTGGACATGCTAAGACATGCTAGCATAGGATGATATGATAAAGGGAAAATTATGGAGCCACAAAGCTAGACAAAAATGCTTCAGAAAACTAAGAAATAGAGTAGGAAGAAATAGTCTTCCCCAAGGAAGAGAGCTGTTATTAGTTATCCAATACCAAATGGTCAGTCCTGAAATCATATTCATGCAGGCAACATATAGACTGAATATTTTTATTTACATACTTAATAATATATACTTATGTATCATATATTGTTACAATATGTTTAAAAGACACTAAGGGGATACATAGGGAGGGCTTCAGGGAGGAAAGTTAATGAGGCAATTATGTAATTATATTTTAATTTAAAAAAGGAAGAGATAGTAAAAATAAACTAAGAGTAATTTCAATTTAAAACAGATCCTACAGCATTTATTACTTATTAGACATAAATTGTAACTAATAAAAGTATTGTTTATTTCCTTTGAGTAAAATCAATTTTTCTTCTTGACATTCTATTTCTGTCCCCTAACAAATCTGTGAAATGAATTTTTAGTTTCCCTTCATGTTCCATTCATTTATTCCTCTGCTGTCTACGAGGGCCATACTCTTTCAGTTACTGTGGCTTCACTGGCCATATGTATCTTCATTAGGGTTACTATTGTTATGATGAAACACCATGACAGAAGCAAGTTGGGGAAGAAAGTGTTCATTTGTTTTACACTTCCACATCATAGTCCATCACAGGGCAGGAACCTGGAGGCAGGAGCTGATGCAATGACCACTGAGGGATGCTACTTACTGATTTATTCATCATGGTTTGCTCAACCTGCTTTCTTATAAAACCCAGGACCACCAGCCCAGGGACAGCACCACCCACAATGGGCTGGGCCGTCCCTATCAATCACTGATTAAGAAAATGCTCTACTGCTTTGCCAATAGCCAGATCTTATGGAAGCTCTTCTTAATTCAGGTTCCCTCCTCTTTGATGACTTTAGCTTGTGTCAAGTTGACAAAAAACTATCCAGCACAATATGCTAATACATGCTTCCCTCTAGTGGCATACATATTTTACATACATCTTATATATCATTTGTTATTAATCATAATTTTATTACAGTTGCTTTCTTATTACATATGTGCATATGCACATGTGCAAGTCATGGCACATGTGAAGGCATAAGAGAACAACCTGAGGGAGTCGGTTCTTTCTGTCCATCTTATGGGTCCCAGGGATTTAATTTTATTGTCAGATTTGACAGAAAGTACCTTTACCTGATGAGCTATCTTGCCATCCAAATATTTACTTTTTTGTCCATATATTTTTTCAAATAGTCCAGAAAAATAATTTTATAAGTCAGTTGAAAGACATCCCACTGGGGCTTTCACTACAATTGTACTACAGCTGTAATTAATCCAGGAATAATTGATGTCTGAATAATAATGTCTCCTCAGGTATGAAAGACTATGTCTTTACATTCTTTTCAAACTCCCTTCTGACTTTCAACCAAGTAATAATACAGCTTCCTATAAGAGCTTTCCCTTTTACTTTTTAATTCCCTCGAAAGAAGGAAGCAGGAATGAAGTCCCTAAGTCTAAAAATGATGATCATTTATTATATTATTAGATGATTATTTATTATGTTGCTACTATAGAAAGGAAAGGAACAGTTTTTCGTTTTTAACTACAAAAGATTTTAATATCTCACAAAACTAAAAAAGAAATGGCAGTCAGATATATTGTTATTAAATAGAGTTTTCACAAAAGGAAATGCAGATGTATTGTTATTAAATAGAGCTTTCACAAAAGGAAATGCTTAAGACTTAAATTGTTTTATTGAGTTGGGAGATACTACTGAAAATTAAAATAATTATGAACTATGCAAAGCTGAAAATAATACCTAGATGTTTTTTCGATTGTCTAGGTAGGTGCCACCACATTGCAGCCACTTGTGGCACCCAGGGACTTAAAGTGAGAATGACATGACAGAATTGCTACAACGCTAAAACACACAAAGGGTTCCAAAGACCACATAAACATTTAAATATTTCACCAACAATATTTTAGTATTATTCACACGTATTAGCATGCCTTAGAACAACCCCACAAAACATTGAATAACTTTCCTGATATTTAGCTTAAACCCACCAAAAAGCAGATTGTGTCTCTGAATGGAAAGGTCAAGATCTGGTAAAAGTCAATGATAATGCCATGAATGCCTACTCTGAGACAGTGGGAGAATGCTCAGAAAATATAAGTTTTATTTTATATTTGGAGCTGAAAAATTAACTGCATGCTGTGCAGGCTCATCTGGAAGAGACACAGTGTTGAAGGCAGATGCATTAAATCACTTCATAAGACACCAGGAAAACTGCCATATCCTCAGATATCAGATAAGTCAAATCACTAAATAGTAAAAGCTGGAACCCTACATTGTCATCTTTCTAATTACTGAGGAAAACAATCGATATGATTACCTAATTACAAGAAGCATTTAAAGGGATGGATATTTCTTTGGCAATTTTCATGATGAACACATCATGCAACTATTTGTTACATTTTAAAATTATGTTAAACTACTAAATTGGAAATCTTATAGTAACTCATGTCATTATCTCTGGCTATTCCAATCCTCAGCATTTAGTTATAAGGCTTGTAATGACACAGATCACTTTCTATATAAAGCAGACTACATCCTCCTTTTTGATAGAGTGTCCTCTTCATTTGCTGTCCTCCACCATCCCCTCCCTTTACCAAACTCCTAATAGGAGACCAAATATACAGCAGACAAACCATTCCTGTTTGTAGAATGAAGAGTCTGAATAAGTGGATAAATTGCTATGGTTTCTTTTGGGCCTAAAGCATTATATTTATATATATATATATATATAATATTTCTTAAGGGATTGGTCAAGGCATTTCAGTGAGCTGTCTAGGCACTAATCAGTGTGATGGTTCAAACAAGTTAATGTCCCTTCAGAGTGTACCTAAACTTCCTAGGTATGTATATTTAAAATTAGCGTGATATGCATACAATATTGTCCTAACATTTTACTAAGTTTCTTCTCAAATTGTAACACAAAAAATATAATGGGATTCTTCTACTCAAAAAATACAATTGGATGTTACAGTCTTACACTCAATGTTTTAAAATAAAATAAATTCAAGTTTTTGTTATTCACCTAAATTTAGAATGCATCATTTCTTCAAAAGTTGAACATATTGTGCCCAGATCTCACAAATCAAATAACATATAAAATATTTGTAAATCATAAAGTGAGTAGTATATGTAAATTTTATTTTTCTTATCATACTTGTCTGCTAGGAATTTGGCTTAGTTAGAGTTTCTATTGCTGTGAAGAGACACAATGACCACAGCAACTCTTATAAGAAAACATTTAATTAAGGGGGATCACTTAAAGTTTCAGAAGTTCAGCGTAATATCATCATGGTGTGGAGCATGGCACATGCAGACAGACATGGTACTGGAGAGATGACTGAAAGTCTACTATCTTGCAGTCAACAATAAGTTGACTGAGATACTGGGTGGTATCCTGAGCATAAGAAAACACAAAGTCCACCTCCACAAAGACACACTTCCTCCAACAAGACTTTACCCATTACAGCAAAGCCACACCTCCTAATAGAGCTACTCCCTATGAAACTATGGGGGCCAATTAGCATTAAATTACCACAGAACTATTTCTAGACAAACTATTTTACTCAGACCTTCATCAACAGGTTTCTTGTTATAGAAATTACTTTTTATAGACAGAGTCCAGGCATTATCATACAGTACTAGATAAGAATATAAACCTTGTATAACTGCCAGACGTGCAAGCAACTCCAGTGAAGAATAAAATTTATCAAAGATAATATTTAGAACCTGAAGTGTGTGTGTGTGTGTGTGTGTGTGAAAGGCAGCCACTAATTTTATAGTTCTTCTGATGCTTACTATATGAATATTGAAGGCCTTTTTCCCCAGATGCTCAGAAAATTTGCCAAAAAGTGCTAAAATAACATCACTTAGAGAGTATGAGCTAGCCTTGAGATTAATAAAGCCACTAACTCACAGACTTTCACAAATGATGAGTTTTAAAATAACAGTTTCACCCATCTAGTATTTCAATACTTCACTTTGTTTCTATGATACATTTATCATATACGAAATATTTACAAAAGGAGTTATAATGGCCTTCTGGGATGAGAAGAATAAGATTCCTGTAGGAAATGTTAAAACTAAATTTGATGGGATGCAAAGTTAGAGACGGCTGTTAAGAGATGGCATGCCGCCACAGGGTGGGGTTTTGTTTTGGTTCCTGTTAGAGCTGCAGGTGTTTGGCACTAGTTAAAATTGGGGCCAGCTGTGATATTTCAATAATCTGATGTTTCCCTCACAATATTTCTCAGAAGTGATGCTTCCTGGTGATGTCTTACACCTGACATGTTCAACTTGTGTGGTACAAATGGAAAACTAAGGTAAATAGCACCCATTTGTGCCACCCTTTGCCCTTCTTCCCCACCCTCAGGTCACAACATCAAGGACAAAGAAAAACATGGGTGCTCTAATAATTCATAGTTTTTAACCAAACAGTTCAACATACGATGATGATACTCAAGAATGAGCAGAAGCAGCCTACAGGAAAATCCTGAGGCAGGCTGGAGTGCTCCTTGATGCTCAGTATAGATAACAATGCTTAAAAAAAACTCTCTGTGGTAGAATCCATACCTAGTTTTACAAGAACTTGAATAGTTTCTATTAAAAGTTGCATTTTCTTTTTAGTTTGTTTGAGTTGGAAAACCTCAAACCGCAATATGTCTCATGCACATGTTCCCAAGGGCATGTTCATAGGACCATGCTGAGGTCATCTTGTAAGCTGTTGAAACATTTTAAGAATCCCTTTAATGTACTGCACATTCTTGGCCTGAATGACAAAAAAAAAGACACTTTAAGAATACACTTGGGAAACAGGTTAGCTATTAAAATGTACAAGTAAATAGTGTATATTACACTGTATAATGCAGAGTTTCCCTCAGATAATTTTCCATGGGGGTAGGAAAACAATAAAACAATCACTTGAAGAGTTTTGCACCAAAACATCTCAGAACTATTGGTACATTCAGACAAAAGCCCTTGCAGTATTTGTGATTAACAGTGGATATTCACGGGGGTCATTTGAACTAGGGGTCACTTGAACCAAGATCATTTAATCAGAGGATTAAGAGGTAGACAACCTTCCATTTAGTCAAGACAAAGTGTATCATCTGTTGCTTTTCAGTTAAGAAAAAAATTCAAGTTTTCTTGGAAAACAAGCATATGATGAAATTGTTTTGTTAGAAATAGTTTTTAGCATGAAGCAAATTTTAATTTCCTATGAAGAATTTCCAATCACAGGTGGAATCTAAGTGGTCTACCTGATAAGTGTCACACAAAATTCTCTTCTATTCTTTGAGTTTCCTGTCTCCCTTTCCCAGCTCCATAGCTGGACATACTGCTTTTCACCTCATCAGGGACTTCCTTCCTGTGCTTTGTTCCAGGCCTTGTACTTCACCCAAAGTGATTTCTAATTGAGCAAGCAGCTGTGCTGGCACAGCACACATGGGGCATGGGGCCACAGAACTGGTAACCCATCCCCACATCTGAATGCAAGTGGCCAGTTCCTTGTACCCAGGGCCAAGAAACTCTGTAATTCATCAGAGGGAACGAATAGGAGGACACTTCAAACAGAAATAACACTTCAAAAAATATTTTCTATGGAAAATTAAAAAGTATAGATGATTGTCAATCAGAAATGAGGAAAGGCTGAACACTTTTGGCAAAGAATTTGTGGATACATTTGTGAGTGATCTCCATGGCTAGACTGGATGTGACTCTGTCCATAGGCATAGGTAAGTCAAGAGTGCCTGTAAAAAGAATAAAACCTAAAGGCACCACCTTAAAAACTTTCAGGTGCACTGGTAAAGCATCAGGACCAACACAACTTATAGAATAAAGAGTTGGCTCTTTCAGTTTCAGAGGGTGGGAAACATGACAGGCAGATAGGCATGACTCTACAGCAGTAGCTAAGAGCTTACATCTTGATCTGTAAGTATAAGGCAGAGAGACCTATGCCTTTAATCCCAGCACTCGGGAGGCAGAGGCAGGCGGATCTTTGTGCATTCGAGGCCAGGCTGGACCGATAGCCTCCGAAACAATACAGAGAAACCCTGTCTCATAAAATCCAAAAAAAAAAAAAAAAAAAAAAAAAAAAAAGGCAGAGAGACCTAGCTAAGAATGTGTGAGTCTTTTGAAACTCAAAACTCACTCTCAGTGACACAACTGCTTCAATAAGGCCACATCCCCAATTCTTTCCAAACAGTTTCACCAACTGGAGACTAAGTTTTCAAACATATAAGCTGATGGGAGCAGTGGAATATTCTCATTCAAACAAGAGGAGTCATTATAATGAAAGCTGCCATTACATTAAATTAGCATGCAACCTTCCCTGTATCTCTACTCTCTAGTAACATTGGATCTGATGCTGTCAACAGAGAGAGAAAATTCTACTTTAACATTTGATATTTAAAAAAAACATAGGTTAGAACATTTATAAAAGTAGTAACCAATATTTGGCACTCAGTCTCCGGAGGTCACCAAAAACATTTCAGTCCCTTTTCTGAGGCACAAAGCAACTACTTGAAATTTTAAGAAACCTGTAATCTTCACAGTTAACTAAATTTTCATTTAATCATTTGATGATTGATCTACAAATATTATTGCATACCTGCTAGTTCAGTCAAGTTTGAATTTACTTTTCAGAAATGCATAGAATACTCAATTTGTACTAAATTCCTACCATGTGGCACCTAGTAAACACAAAAAGGCAAATGAAATAATCTTTTAAATGTCATTTACATTTTGATTTGTTTTGTTTTTGAGATAAGGTCTTACTCTTAGCCCAGCCAGCCTGGAACTTTCTATGTAACCCAGGAAAACCTTGAACTTATGACATTCTGTCTACCTCAACTTCCTGAGTGATGGGATTACAGGAAAAAGCCAAAAGCTGACTGAATGAACAATTTTGCATGCCACATTAATGTGTTTTTCTAACTACTATTTTATACATTTTAAACTATGAATTCCCCCCACATTATACAATTCTTTCAAAATTCTAAAGTTTAGGTGAATAAATGCTTCAAGCACAAGGGGAAGGAGGCAATCCATTTCTTGGATGGAACAAACAAGACCAGTTGAAAATTTCACAATCATCTTTCATTATTTCTATCATGTTAAGTAAGAGTACAATGTTAGCTAGTATTTATAAAGTCCAGAGAATCTGTACACGTATTATTTCAGTGCTTAAATTCCAAAGAAAGATCTAATTGTGTATGAAGAAGACAACTCTTTTTTTGTTTCTATGGTTCAATTATCAATAGCAATCAGAATATAATTAAATATTTCTAGTGACAGGATTCATGTTAATTAAAACTTACATTTGGTGGATAAGAAAGCATTTTGGAAAGTCTCTGAAAGTGATATGAAAAAATGGTACCTGATAAAAAATATCATTCTTCTTTAATTGATAGATAGCCTAGTGACTAAAAAAAATATGCCATAGAATAATAACAAAAATGCAATTGATTTGCAATGAAAATTATTAAATTAACTAAATTTCATTTGTAATCAAACTAGACTAAATGGAACAATTAGTTACAATAATAGAAATGAGCCTTTATTCTCTCTGAATCAGACCATCACTTGAGCAACAGTATGGTAGTGAGTAAAGTATTTTTTAAAAAAATAAAGCCAGCCGGGCGGTGTTGGCGCATGCCTTTAATCCCAGCACTCGAGAGGCAGAGACAGGCAGATCTCTGTGAGTTCAAGGCCAGGCTGGACCGACAGCCTCCAAAACAATACAGAGATATCCTGTCTCATAAAACCAAAAAAAAGCCTAAAATTAATAATCTTGCTATATTAATATTGTAGATTATGCTTTGGCATCTTTATTCTAGATAAAACACACATGAAATAACAATACTGCTGACAAATAAAATTTGAGAGATATCTGGGGAAATGTGATATTAAATTGTGAAAAACTGTAGTCCTACACATCTCACAACCACAGCTTAAAGCAATAGTTAAGGACATAAAGTAAGCATACCAGCTTTGTGGGCCACAGACCAATGTGCACAGGACCACCTCTTCCCAGGAGTAAGCAGGCATAAATCCCTGATATTTGGGGTCCCTTCCTCATTACTCACACAACACACATCAGATGAAACCCCCTAATCTCAAACCTAAACTCCCAATTACTTACTTGTGAAATAATACCGCATAGTCTTGACAGGAAACCAAACCACAAAAGAATTCCTGAATTTATTTATTTTTCTACAGTAAGTATTGTAACTAGTGAACTAAATGCATTCACATTTCCTTTAAGTGAGCATTTATGTAAACTAAACGCATTCATGTTAAAGAGATTCATTCCAGCAAAGTTCTCCTTTCGAAAAGTGTATGTTACTTCAAATAATTGATTTAAAATTAAAAACTTCTACTGTATATGGATAAAGAACTCAAAAAAAGTATTCTATAATTTTGCAAATGTTAGAAACTGTCAAGATACCTGAGTCATAGTAAAACCTTCACAGAATAAATAGAGTTCCCTTATATTTTGAGGTTATTACATGAATCTGAGATATGACAAGTTGCTTCTATTTGTTGTAGCAATTGAAGTAATAAAGTAAAAATAGTATGATAGCATCTAAATTTGAAGATTGTCATAGAAGAAAATTTCAGGTGCCCCTATTCCTGCTCAGCACATATCCTATCCATGTTATCTTATGTCTTGTAAATCACACAGTTTATGAAACACATAAAAAGCCTGAACTCTACAGAACTAAGTTTGACATGCTTTGTACATTATGAGACAGCAATATGATCAGAGTGACAGTAACTGGGAAACTTATATTTACTTCTACAAATAGGAATTTCTGAGTCCTGACTTCTGGCTATATTTCTGTTTTTCAGAAAAAAATCAATATCCTGGCCTTTGAAAATTTTAGGTAGCTATGTATTCTGGATCTAGCAGACTTGTAAGTATGAGTGTAGACAACCAGTTGACTCTAAATTATGATTCTTTTTATTTTAGACCCACAAGCAATTTTAGTCAAATAGTAAAACATTGTATCATGTCATTTAGGCTTATGGTCAATAGTTATTGTTCCTTTACATAAGTCAAAAGTTGAAAAGCAACCACAAAATTCAAAAGTACAAACCTGGGCTTCGGAGAATACATCTTTCATACTGTTGATTGGACCATATGCAATCCCACTTCCTTCAAAGAGACAAAGCCACTTGGCAGTTACTTCTTCTGCAAACCTAGGTGCAGACAAATAGCACATTTTACAATTTAAAGAAGGTGATGTGAGCTCTTCTCTTATGTGGCCATCTTTCAAAGTAATTTTATAGTGACAAAAGTATGCTTCTTTGGCTTTCTTTACTCTGAGAGTTTAGAAAAAACATGTCTATAGAATGTATCTTGAGTGGTTCTGCTGTCAGAGAACCACTCCGGCCAGTGGAGTGCTTCCTCCTAGTTCTAGTCTATGTATTCTCTGACAGAGCACACCTGCAAAGGAAACATTTGGAGGTGGGGGACATGAATTGAATTATAAATGCTTTTGAGTTATTTACAGTCATAATCATCACAATTACAATGTGAGCATCAAAACATAGTATAAAATGTTGCTTGAGTTTCAGGTACAGCATACCAGGTTAGAGCACTAGATAATTCTTCAAAACTAAATAAACTAATGCTTTAAAAATAAGTTACCAGTGAGGCAAAAATTATTAACAGTTTTTCTGTTAATTAACAGCCACATATGATGCCTTTAACTACTTGTAAATCTTTACTGTGATGTAAGAATTGGAAAAACAGGCATGTAAAGACATTTGCATATATATTTATTAACCAGCTTCTACATACAAAGCATTATTTCTTATCATTAAGCACAATGACTTTCCTTTTCTCTTGAATTACAATGGATACAGATGTTTTCCTAGCTGGGTATAGTCCCACACTCCTGTAAGACCAGCATTTCAGAAGTGAGAACAACAGGATCAGATCTAGGTTATGCTAGGCTACAAAACAAGTCTGAGACCAGCCTGTAATACATAAAATTTTAATTTCACTTTAATTTCAACCCCATAATTTTTTACTATATTTATTTTAAAATAATATAATTCACTTAGTATGAAATATCATTTTTTCATGAAAAAACACAATGTAAGGCTAAATATCTTGCTGATGGTTATGGCTCATAATATTCATATTTTCTTTTCACTGACTGCTACTGTCATCTCCTGACCAACACTTATGGATAGATAAATAGAAAAATAGATAGATGAAATCATCAGAATGGCACATGTTGAAAATATCAAAAAGATACTTTGAATCTGGAATGTTTTCATAGAATATTTTCCTAATGTAAATAATTGGTCTGATAAATTTTCATGACAAATGGTTTATCAACAGTGGACCATGCAAAAGATCCAAAAGACCTACACATAAAATGTGTATTAACATCTCAAGGAGTCAGGCTAACTAGAGGAAACTTGGGGAAACACGTGAAGATTTAATATATATATATATATATGTATATATATATACAAACTTCATTAGTGGGCAAAAAAGGGGGTTTACTTCATGTTGTGGGCAAAAGCGAGCTCTATTTCATGTTATAGAAGGCAGCCTATGCATTTTAGAAAGACAACTGGGGCATAGGTGGTATCTCAAGTCAAAGCTGTGGACATTGTGTGGGTGTGGGTGGGGCTGGGACCCTAAATGCCTCAAACACTGCACCTTTTTTTTTTTTTTGGTTTTTACGAGACAGGGTTCGAACTCAAACACTGCAACCTTAACTGGGAATTAATTTATCTCAACTATTAGTACTCAAATTGTGTCAAATCCACTTGATGTCAGGAATTAGTATTCTGAACAGACAGCACCATTTATGTTATAAGTAGGATATCTTTATCTAGTTTATTACTGCTTGAAAGTAGTGATAAAACCTGATTTAGGCACTAATGTCCTTTCTTACAGTCTCCATTTGTCTAAAGCTGCCACATGTGAAAGCAACTCTTCTTTTTAGAGTCCTCACAAAGTATTTACAGTTTTAACTACCCTACCCATGTGCTCTGTGATATTTACCATAATGCCCTTAGTACCTCTTTGGTTAGTTCTTTATCTTGTATTATTTTGCTAGACCAAGTATTCCTTCTTGTTACTAACTCACTCCTATTATGTAGACAAATGATCTCCAAAGGCTCATGTGCTGAAACTTTGGTTTTCAGACTGGCTTTTACTGGGGGAAGGGAACCATTAAATGGCTAAGTCTAGTGGGAGGAAGAACATTAGTACCTCAGCCCAGTCCTGTCTCATTCTGTTTACTAGCTTCCATGAGCTGAACAGATTTCTCCAACCAACCCATCCACAGTGTGCTCCCTTACTGCGGGTCTAAATGTGGCAAAACCAATCAGGTATGCACTAAAATATCTAAAGTCATGTATCAGGAGGAAAACATTTTCTAGATATTTTAGCATGGAATCACAAAGCTAACCAACATGCTCATTTTCATGACCTTGACATCTCTGCAGGAAACATCATACTCTCATTTTGAGACTCAACCTTTCTTTTACCCATATTGACTAGAATTTGCTTCCCTTTTGTAAAACATTGCACCCTGCTAGACTTGGTACTTCTTCCTTTTGCTCACTTATTTCAGCATGTATAGTTGTTTGGGGAAGCACCCTTCCCATGACGAATTACTACTGTATCACGGTCTTAACCTTTGTTGCTTCACATTGGATAGTGATAACATTTGGTTTAGAACCTATCATCTCAGGGTTAGAGAAATCGCTCCTGGATTAAGAGTATTTGCTATTCTGGAGAAAACCTTACTATCTTCAATCTTCCTCCTTCCAATACATCAGTAAAATCAAATCTATTTAACCATTTCCTTGAGACCCACAACCTGCTTTCACAAGAAAGGCATACATTCCTGATTAGCTACCACATCCTCAGAGCTAAGAATATAATTGGCAAGCAAACCCAGTATCTTTGCATCTTGGCAAGGTTGGAATGACGGAAGAATGAAATGAAGTAACGAAACTACAAAAGAAAAGGTAATCTTTGAACACACATAAATTCTATCCTAGATCTAAAACCAAGTGTTAGCTGTCGTTCTGCATGGCTCCTAGCAGCACAATTCAGTGAGTAGCGTGCAGCTGAGCTCCAGTCTCAGAGACTGCATGAGACAGCTGGAGACCAGCATCCCAATGCTGCATTTGTGTTTGTGCACCAGGCACCAGAAGAAAACTCTGTCCCTATTATTTCTATTCCTCATACCATCATGATGATATAATAGTGCTCACTGTTAGAGAGCTCAATTAGTGACACAAGCTCTTCTCCTATGTGGCCATATTTCAAAGTAACTAATAGTGATAAAAACTTCTTTGACTTCCTTTCCTATGAGAGTTTGGAGAAAATTATGTATAGAATGTGACTTGAGTGTTCCTGCTGTCAGAGCAGCCACCAAGGCTAGTAGAGTGCTTCCTCCCAGTTCTATGGCTGTGGATCAAAAGTCTCAAAGCTCTCATCCTGTGGGACCCTAAATATTTTTGTCTTTGTTTTTTGCAATGGGAACATTGGTGATAATCCAAAGTGTAGCCTATGGCTCCAACCTGAAGCTATCAGCAATGGAATTAACACATGTTTCCAGAATTGCAGAGGAAAAAGAAGGCACTTTGTATTGATTAGTTGCCTGGACCTGGGCATTCCTGTTTTATTTCTAGCTATTATCAACCCTGGAGCTTCAGAATGTCTGTCTTTGAGGCAACAAATCTGAACTGATTCATTTTCTTGCATTTTGAGGATTAAAAAATGGAAGCATTATTGAGGTTCAAATTCAAGTTGGCTTTCTAGACCAAGGTTCATCTCAAAGCAGAATGCTGACATATCTAGAAGACAGAAACAATCACTAACATTTACTGAGACAAGACTAGATTTTAATACTAACATCACCCAAGTCAACTCTTCAACCTCTCTGCATCCCAAATAGTGTATTTTAGGAAAAGTATAATAGCTATAAATTACTTAAAGCAGTTTGTGATAAATAAGCAACAAATGACATTTATTGATAGCAATTCCACTTGCATTTAAAGTAAATGTAACAATAAAATCTCCTATAACTGCAGATCAACATTAGAATGTTAGGGATTTTGACAGTAGCTCAATCTAGAACTGCTTATCTGTCAGGTATCTTATGATCACAAAAATTTAAATTTCTGAAACTTTTAAAATACATTTTTGTCTTTTTGTTGTTATTGTTTGTTATCATTTGTTTATGCCTTTCTGTATAAAACATATTTGTACTGAGGCCTCTAGGGATTTAATGATGACTATATTCAGGAATCCCACTTGGTCATCATTATGCTTGGAGCTCCATCATAGGGAAGAGTGAATCAGAAAGTCAAGCTGAGCAGGAAACAATAAATCAGGCTTTTCCAGGACACTTAGAAACAATCTAAAGAGGTACCAACAAACACTGATGCAGAGAGGCCAAAGAGCTTAAAAGTTCTTTTTCATCTCGTCTCAAGAGTTAAGTATAAGGTCAAAGTCTCAGCTCTTACAAGCAATGAGAGTGTGTATGCTGACCTTGTGTTGAGTCACAGTTTGATGAAGCCTGCATGTTTCTACCCAGACCTTAGAAGTTATGACAGTATGTTATGCCCATGTGAATTCATAGCTAGATGAGGACTCTGAACCTCTACCCACAGCCTTCTGGCTTCAGAATGTTTAACAACAGTATGAAACCAAAGAAATGTTACCTCGTCCCTTTCTGCCTGAAAGAATTTGTAAGGTACTCAAAGACAATCTTTCTATTTTTTCATAGTTCTCCTTAACAAAAAGTAAAATTTCTATGAATTGATAACAGCATCATCCTTGTTGTACTTGGAAAACTTTCATTGAAACAGTTCTGCACCATCTCTGGCATTTAGACTTTTTTTGCTGCTGTTTCTTCTTCATAGATCCCTTAGTCTGGAGGGAATGTTTGATAAGACATCCAGTTGAATGCTGAATTTTCTAAAATCTCTCACTTTCTGCACACTGTCTAATTGTGGGTCTTTGTGATAATTACCATCTACTGCAAGAGGAAGCTTCTATGATGAAGGGTGAGTGACACCCTGATCTATGAATATAGCAATGTGCCATTTGGAGTCAGATACCTGTATACTATCTATACAAGTTAAAGCCAGACAACAAATTCCCACCACCAGCCAAGAAACTATTTTCAGTTGATACCTGCTGGGAGAAGGAAAAT